CACATATGGTAATGTACATGTTGCAATGCTATTCTCTCAAATCATTCCACCCTTGCCTTCTCCCTCAGAGTCCAAAAGTCTGTTCTTTACATCTGTGTCTCTTTTGCTATCTAGCATATAGGGTCATCATTACCATCTTTTTAAATTCCATATATATGCGTCCATATACTGTACTGGTGTTTTTTAATGATAGCCATTCTGAATGGTGTGATGTGGTACCTTTTTGTAGTTTTGATTTGCATTTTCTAATAATTAGCAGTTTTGAGCATCTTTTCATGTGTCTATTGACCATCTGTATTTCTTCTTTGGAGAAATGTCTGTTTAGGTCATGAAGACTTTTATTTTTAACGTCAGGTTCTGAAATTTTATTATAGTATAAGCAGGCCTATAAAAAGAATTTTATTGATGAAATGGAGAAAAGGATAAAAATGTTATTTAATAACAGTAAAATAAGGAGGCTATTGTTTTCCTTCTTCTATTTTTATTTTTACTTTTTGGCCACATTGTGTGGCCTGCAGGATCTTAATTACCTGATCAGGGATAGAACTTGTGTCCTCCTGCAGTGGACGCATGGAGTCTTAACTACCACCAAGAAAGTCTCTCCTTTTTTATTATTAAATGCCTAATATACTTACAAATTCTTTCTAAAAAGACCGTGAAACTTTAGAGAAGAAAAATGGTCTATCCTTGGGTTTAAGTGATAGAATGAATGCATTCTGGTTTAATAGCATTCCAGAGAGGAAATATTTAGGGCTTTTATTACACAGTTCAATATTTGTCAGCAATGGAGATGACTGACTAAAGAACATACAAATATAACCTGCATTTAATGGTATATTATTCAGAATAGGTGTTTCTCAGACTGCGTATGGAATATTGAGTTTAAGAATACTTAGCAATATGTTATTAGGAATAAAGAGGACATGGTGGTAAGGGAGAAAGAGGTGTTTAAGGCAGCTTCAGCTTGCAGAGGGACTGAATTTTGTGATGCTCTAGAGAACAGAACCAGGGAGGCAAACTCTATGGTTTTAGCCATAAGGAAAAATTTGACCTCTCTGCAAAGCATTTAAAGAATGTTAAAAATGGCCTTGCCCTCAAAAAGCTGTGGTCCAGTGATAATTTTGAAGAATCAGATTAAATTATGCACATGAAAGTACTTTTAAAAATGTCAGCTATGATATCTGTGAAAGTTGCTATTGTCTCCCTGAATTCTTTTTCTCAAAGGAAGTGTGTGAAAGTGTTAGCTGCTCAGTCGTGTCTGACTCTGTGACCCTATGGACTGTAGCCTGCCAGGCTCCTCTGTCCATAGAATTCTCCAGGCAAGTACACTGGAGTGGGTTGCCATTTCCTACACCAGGGAATCTTCCCAACCCAGGGATTGAATCGTGGTCTCCCACATTGCAGGCAGATTCTTTACCATCTAAGTCACCAGGGAAGCCCATTTTCTCAAAGAAAATAGATGGAAAAATATTGAAGAAACAAACACCAGAGGGCATTGTGGTAGCGTTTAGAAAACAACGATAGTCCAAGACGTTTGAAGACAGTTAATGTATCTTAAAAAATCATTTTTTTTTCCTTCTAAGAAGTGATGGTATTGCTTTTATTCAGGTATTATTCACCCTGTTAACTGGCATTCTTAAAGATTTCTAATAATTGCAGGTCACAATATCCTTAAAAAAACACACCTGTGTATCTTACTATGTTAGAGAATGCAAACATTCACCTGGTGGATTTTTTGTTTCATATTTTTCTTCTGGAGGGGTTAAGTTCCATTTCAGTTTTGTTTCAGCGGCTTTGTGCCCTAGAAATACTATAACTTGTATTGCCCCTAGTATTTAAAAAAGTAACATATTAGGGAATTTTCTGGTGGTTGGTTCAATGATTAGGACATGGAGCTCTCACTGCTGGTTAGATCCCACAAGCCAAGAGGCACAGCCAAAAAAAAACTGGTAACATTTTGGAGAGGGATGAATTGAGAGTTTGGGGCTAGCAGATGCAAACTATTATATGTAGAATGGATAAACAACAAGGTCCTATTGTATAACACAGGTAAATAGATTCAATATCCTATAATAAACCATAATGAAAAAGAAAAAAAATTTAAAAGTAACATTTAAAAAGTAACAGATGACAATTAGAGCCGTCAAGAAAACCATACCGTTGTCAGTAGTTTGCAGATTATTTTTTATGTCTCTGAAGTGCAGTTTTTAAATGGAAGTTTTCTGCATATTAGCAAATGAATTATTGTTGCATGATTTTTACTGTTTCTGGAGTATTCTGTAAAAACTCAGCGTTATTTCTTACTTTAAGAGAGAGCTATTTGGGTAACTTAGACTTTAGATGTACATTTTGGAGAATTATACTATTTAAATTCACTAGGAATTTCTGGGGACCTGGATGAGAAAAAAGGCCTTTGCTGCTAAAGGAATGATAATGGTTAACCCTTAAACCCCATACATATCACCCTGAGTTTTCACTGATTTCATAAATGTTCCCAGCAGCTTTGTTAAGAATAATGAGACTTTTTTTGTTTTTCAACTCAGAGAAGCAGCTGTGGAAAAATAGAAGACTGATAGAGGCAGGGATGGTGAGCAGGAGTGTTTGGAGAGAGAGAGGGAAACTACTGCCTCACAGCTTAGTTAATTGTTATTAACCTAGTTATTAATTTTACTAATTAACTTTATTAGTTAATAGTTTTAACTAATTAATATTACTAATTAAAAATAATATTCATAATGGCTATTCTAAATTATTAGGGTTAGATTTGTGTTTCTTTATATAGGAAAAAAAGAGGGGTATAGAAATGTTTTGGAAAAACTTCATTCAAAAGGTCTAATACGAACTATTCGGAGACTTGTTGAAGGAGGAAACAGACAGAATGGGCTCCATCTTGAAAGCAGGACTCCATCTTGGGCTGGACTGTGGACTTTGAGCTTTGTGCCCAGTATCTATGGAAACGACGTATCAACTGGAAAACCAGACTGCCTGGGTAGAAGAGTCCAGGGCTCGTACCTAGACTCTCTATTGCCTAAAAGAATACCCTAATTATCTGTGTAACCAAATAGAATAATGAATTCTATTATGCTTATTGGGGTATGACCACAGGCCTATTGATAATTGTCCACTGTTAACTACCTAGGCTTAAGGCATCTGAATCACGGGTTAACTCTGTATCTTTCTTTTCCTTTGTTCAGACTAGTTTCAGGGAATTTGGGGAGGTAGGTTTGGGTGGGTACACTTAGGGTATTAAGGTTTTCACAAAAACTGGTCAGGGTCCTTGGCTAAGAGGAGACTCTGCCTTGGGCCCGCCAGTGTAATAAACTGCACTCTGCTATCTGCATTGTCCTTCTGAGTGAGTTTGTTTCCCGGAACGTGTGGCTACAACATTGTGAGGATAAGTTTTGGTATCAGACAACATGTATCCATTGAGCATTTCTAATAGAAGGGTAGATTCAAGGATTGTTCTACCTTTAAGGAGTTTACCAACATAGACTTGAAAATAACAATGAAAGAAGCTGCATGCGGTAAGATTTCACTAAAGACACTAAGAGCCAAAGGAGATCAGGGAATAAATACAGCTTTCATGGCTTCCAAGATCTGAGATGAGGTGGGTCTCAAGCTAAATCTAGGAAGGACTGAGGAAGCCAAGGAGAGGAGGGCAGGGCATGATGAGCAAGAACAGAACTAGCGTAGGGAATAGCATGAGAAAGGCTAACCACACATGGGGTGCGTCCTATCTCCCACAATGCCGACAAAGGGACTCTTTACAGATGGATTAACTGGCTTCTATTTCTAATGAAAGAGAATTTAAATAGAAATGTAAGTTTCTACTTTGAGATATTACTACCTTCCTCAGCCAAAGCTTCAGAGAATTTTATCTTCTCTCAGAGTTCAGTGTGGTAAATGTTAAAAAAAAACAAAAAAACCCCCCAAACTGGTAGATTTCAGAAATTACGCTAAACTGAGAAATAGTCTTTGTTACTCTGATCTGAATTATTATCTATCTTATTCTTAAACTGTCCATTGTAAACTCTGTATAATAAAGAATCTGTATAATAAAATCTGTATAATAGTTTGAAAACTCTCATTTTGCTTTTCATATAAATCTTATTGTCTATATGTCTTGCAACTATTAATAGCTTTATTTACATTTATAATAAGTACATTGTTCTTTGTCGTTTCTAGTTGAATATAGAAAATAGATTAATATAAATTATTAATAGATTATTTAGTACAAATTTAGTAAATAGATGTTCACATTGTACATTGTGATAATTATGAAAGAAAAAAGGGACTTATTTAATAAAAATGGAAATTAGAGAGTATAAATATATTTTCTTTTAAAAAATCTTTACATGTATATATATACACTCATGTATATAGTCTCTGATATCCCACTACTTGTGATTATAGTTCACAGTGGTGAAGTGGAGCTAAGAGAAATTAACAGGTATTAAAATTATTTAGCAGCTAATTAAGGAAGAGTAGCTTGTTACTTATTGTAAATTGTGTTACATATATGATGTACATTTTAAAGATATATGTATCTTATTACAGTCTACATATCCATAATGATTTTTCTCTGGTAAAAAGCTTTTTATTATGGAAAAATTTAAACATATACAACAGTAGAGAGAGCAGTATAATGAAACCCCATATATTTATCACCCCACCTAAAAAATTATAAACATGTAGACAATCTAGTTTTATTTATGACCCCTTTATTCCCCACTTTCAGCTCTCCAGAACTAGTTTTAAACAATGCCCAAACATCATATGACTGTTCATAAACATATCAACTATCATAGTTATTTAACATAGGAGATATTGATATATTTTATAGATACAAATGCTATAATCTTTATTGCTATTTAATATTGAGTGTTAACTGTAAATATCTGTTTAAAGTCATGGCTATTATTATTCATCATATCAGGTAATGGATTAACCAGACAGGTTCAGATTTAGTCAGCTAGTTTTCCAAATTGTTCCTGGTGTTGTCAAAAGAGCAGGACTGTCCGAATGCTGTTAATAATAATAAAACAACAATCAGTATAATTTTCATGGTAAATTTCACCAAAACCCACAAATAATTTTGTTTGTTTGTTTCAAGATTCAGTTTAATATTTCTGTACAGATACCTACTTCGCTAAGCCTAATTTCTTTTATCTTGTCACCCACTTCCATTCATGACATTACTAATATTTCATATGGTGTTAGTAAGCTGGGGGAAAATTGGGGACCCTCACTTGACTCTGGGCAAAGTTCCTGTTGCTCATTGATGTTATAGAGAAGTAGAGCAGTCCACTACAGCAAGACTGTAGCTTGATTTTCATCTTGGGCTAACTGTTTTTGGCTCTCCTGTAGCTTAGAGAAAATTGAGCATCAAAAAAACGAGTGGTTGATGTGTTGGAATGTTGCTTTTGAAGAACTCAGACTTCTACTCCTTGAGAAATGTAGAAGCTTCTCCTGGGCTTTACTGTTGGAGCTGTGAAATCCCAGGCATCAGCAGGTTGCCAGCATACATACTGTTTTCACCCAGGACCTGGAGCTACATCTTCCGATGGAAGAACTTCCGTGGCCTTTCTGCACCATAAGTCAGGGTCATTGCACCTTAAGAGGCCAACTGGGTGTTGTGTTCCCTCCACTTCCTTGCTACTATGCAGTTGGTATGGCAGGAGGATATAACCTCAATTGTACTTCCTGTTCCTGTATAGTCAGCGTCCCTGGGGAGGCCCATCTTCTGCCTTCTCTTTTGCCATCTTTCTAGCTGTGTGGGCAGTTAGCTGGTTTTCTTGGTGAGCCAGGGGGAAGCAGGAGACCTCATTCACGTGGTCTACCCCTCGGCCTCCATTTTACCACTGCTTATCAGGCCTACATGGTATAGTGTGGGAGTCTTGCCCAGGTATTGGTAAAGTAGTGTAGCATTTTCTGTTTGACTGCTACTTAGTAGTCCTTGTGGATATATTTCATGACTGAGAAAAACACTGCTGGAGGAGCTATGAATGCCAGTAAGGCTCTAAACTGAAAGTGAAAGTTGCTCAGTCGTGTCCGACTCTTTGCAGCCCCATGGACTGTAGCCTTCCAGGCTCCTCTGTCCATGGAATTCTCCAGGCCACAATACTGGAGTGGATAACTGTTCTCTTCTCCAGGGGATCTTCCCAACCCAGGGATCAAACCCAGGTCTTCCACTTTGCAGGCAGATTCTTTACCATCTGAGTCACTAGAGAAGCCCAGTAAGGCCCTAAATCCTAATCCAACTCCGAATGTGATGAATACTACTTACAGGGTTATTAAGATTGTACAAGATATTGTGGGGCTTACACACTTTATATCTGTATGGATTAGTTTCAGGTTAGCTCCTAACCACTGTTAGGATCCCAGAAAAAGACTGAGTGAAGTCAAGAGATTAGGAAAAGTGTGGACAGGGAGAGACCCTATGAAAAGGAAAGAAGGAGAGCCCAGGAAGAGCAGGGAGTGGGGAAGGACTCATGAGAAGGAGCAGAATGCATAAACAGAACTCAAGGATTGCTGGGGAGGTGGCTCAAACAGAGCCCACACATTCCACCCCTGTGCTTTTGTCATTCGCTGGACTTTTACCCATGGATTTCTTTTGCAGAAAGAGCTCTGCAACTTTAAAATAGAGGTCTAAAAGCAAGGGCTATGACACATAGTTATGGTCATTGTTAGTACCCACAGATAATTAGAAACATTTGGAAAAAGAACTACCTCTACCTAACTCTTAAAGCACCACCATGTGTGCGATGTTACAACTCCATTGTTGGCATGATTTTCTGGCAGAGTCTACTGCCTCCTGGAAGAGCAGAGGCCTCTGCCAACCTGTAAAACTTGTCTGAATTTGATGTCTCTCTCATTGGGCTTGCCATTACTCTTGATACAGAAGATGTCTTATGTGGCCAATTCAGTATAGCTCAGGAGTGTCCAGGTTTCTGCCTTTGACATAGTTTGATGTATTTCTTATAGGATTCTGGATTCAGATCTCCGTCCATTGGCTCCTTCTGTGAGTGTTTTACAGGACTGGACAGCTGTATGTCCAACGTGAAGGCCTCAGGGTAGACATATATACATTTTGACCCGCTTGATATTGAGTGACATGCTTGGTAACTGAACTGTAGGGAACTCGGCCATCCAGGTGCTCAAGCTGCTCTGTGATCTTGGGAATTTCTTCTTGCCTCATTTCAGTCAGATAAGCACAGCTTGTGTAGACTTTTTACTTTTCCTCCATCAGCTGAGTTTTTGGAGGGAACTCAAATCTCTCATAGTCTTGATCATACCACTGCTTGTAGATATAGGTCTCCCTATCATCCTCTGCCATCCGGGCATCAGAATCCATGCCCTCACCAAGGCCTAGTTTTCTGACAGAACTTTCTAGACCTTTACTTTGCTGTGAATGTATGAAAAGCTACATGTCCTCACATTTGCCTACTAGGAACAGCTCCAAGAGGTCTGATGTGATGTCATCCAGGTACTGTCTGCATTGAGTGCACTTAAGAGGGTTGGTCTGGGAGGACACCACTGTTTTAGTTTGAGCTGTTCTTTCTTTTTCTCAGTTGGGTCTTTGGATGTAGTTTTGCACCTCTTCTCTCTGCTGGCACTTTAATCTTGGACTTCCAGTTTCCAGAATTTTTTATCCTTATCTGTGTAATGAGAAACTTGTGATTTTACTCTTTCAGGTTATTTTTCTTCAGGTCTCTGGCAGCTAGAATCGTTGGGCTGTCTTCTGTGTTTCTCTCCATACTTCTTATCTCCTTTATCCATTTCAGCCTGAGCTTTTGGTTCTGTGTGGCTCCTCCTTAGATTTCTGTTTAGGTATTGCTTCTTTAGTTGACTTCTCTATCGCTTCTTCTCTTTGTTCTTCCATTTCCAAGTGTGTTTATGGGTTTTACTCTTTCTGGTTCTTCTGCAGCAAGTGGTCTAGCAACCGGTTCTCTGGATGTGACTTTATGTTTTTTTTCCTCTTGGTTCTTTTCTTCTTCATTGACAAAATTGTCCAATTTTGATCTTTCAGTTTCTTCCTCGGGTCTCCTTGTGAAACGAGATGTGATGGTGGTCTGCCCGGTAGTTTGCCTTATAATCCCGGGTGGGCCTAAACTTCATTTCTCATCAGACTGGCTTTTTCTAGGCATACAAAGTTTAGAAACAAGTTTGGGGAACTCATTTTTCTTTGCTGTCCTCAGTCTGCAGTCTTTACCACTTGTTTTCTAGACATCCATTCACTTCCCAACTGAAAGCCTGACCTCTGTTCTCCAAGGACAGATCTTTATATAGAAAGGATTTGATTTTAGCCAGGTAGCCCTCCACTGATAATTCTTCTTTATGTAATTTATGTAATGTTACATAACTGCTTTTTTTTCTGTTTGCAGAAGTCCATGCAAGAGATTCAGTTTCTTCTTCACACATTCCTTTTCTTTTAAGCTATCTGAAAACACAGGGAGTCTGCTCTCAAACTGCAAGGAAAATCATCTTCACCTCACTCAGCAGGGGTGATTTCCTTTCTTTTTATTGAAGTTCCTTTTGATATCTTGCAGTGAACACATTTGCAAATTAGGAAGTTCATGTAGTAGAGATATTTTCTTAGGTTTCTTCACCAGGAAATATCCTGGGTCTTCACACTGTGGATCTATTTTCTTCTTTTGCAACATTTATTCTCTGCTTCAGATTCCTGTCATTTAACTGTATGCTTTTCCCCTGCCCCTCTTGTGATATATTTTCTTTTTTTGCCTTTTTGCATTTTCTCTATTTAATACTGTTCCTGGTGTTTTGTCCTTTGCTCCTGTTGACCAATGCTGTGGTTATTTTAACCAAAATCATTGATCCTAGTCTTATTCCCCAGTTACTAGGGATCCCATAATTGGGACACTTTTATAAATCAGCTCTTAGGGTCTGTGCCAAGAGAGCACAATGTAGCTGAAATTGTAGACTTGAATTACTTACTGGATACCCATGACAAACCTATAAAATGAGAGAGCTGGGACATCCTTGACATATTGGACATCTGCCCCCCACTGCTCACATTTTCATGGTTTTCATTTGAATCTGATAATGAAGGGCCTGGAGTGGGCCTTCTGTGTCAATTGCAGACCACAGTGATTCCAGATCCAGAGCAATAATGTACCAAAGGAACCTGACATTATAATCTAGAAATCACTCTTTCTCCAGAGTAGCCCCAATTGAGTTAAAAATTGTTTATGAAGGGGAAAATGTGTGTCAGTTTATACCATCACTCTATTTTGGAACAATGTATGGAAATCAACTCTGAATATTCATTGGAAGGACTGATGCTGAAGCTGAAGCTCCAATACTTTGGCCATCTGATGTGAAGAGCTGACTCATTGGATAAGACCCTGATGCTGGGAAAGATTGAGGGCAGGAAGAGAAGTGGGCGACAGAGGATGAGATGGTTAGATGGCATCACTGACTCAGTGGACATAACTTCGAGCAAAGAGAGAGTGAGTTAGTGAAAGAGAGAGAAGATAGTGAGAGACAGTGAAAGACTGTCTGGGAGATAGTGAAAGACAAGGGAAGCCTAGTGTGGTGCAGTCCATGGAGTCGCAAAGAACCAGACATGACAATATACTCCATGATATTATGGAGATAGAGTAGGAAGTTTTCTTTTTTCCATATGGCCACTATTTAATCTTTTAAGGGTTTTGAGTACTTCTGATAATGTGGAAAGTGTCAGAAAAGACAAACTGGTTAGTTTTCAACATCAAATGAAAATAGAATCTTTGTAAAGATTTTTCAGACTGCTCACTCATTTCGTAATTTACCTTTTTCCTTGGTACATTAGGTCAAATGCCTCATTGACTTTGTCAAAAGGTAGGGTATGGGACACCAATGCATCCAAATCCAATTTCTTATTCTTGTAGTCAGCAGCCAGCTTTGGAACAGAAGTGACACCTTTCCAACCTGTAATTGCCCAAAATGTCAAATAAACACATGGGTCTTGATGTGAAGGGATAGTTTAACCAGCGTTTGTCAAATGAATGAAATTTTTAGGTCAGATATGGGTTGTTCCAAATAGATTATTTCCCTGACGTCTTTAATTTTTTTTTTTTGTATTTTTATTCTATTAAATTTTTTCTTCAAAAGAAAAATTCAAGATTATTTTCTACTTCTAGATAAAGAATTATCTCTCTGATCCAAGTCTACCTTTTGTTCCCCTATATTGGTCTATTTTAATGTAAATTGGATTTCAATTTGCAAATTACAGTTATCCTTCTATAAAAATTCTGTTTACTTTCAAGTAACCAATAGAATAAATAGCTTTCATGTAGTCTTCAGATATGTCCTAGGCACTCAATATTTAAAAAAATATTTTTTCTTTCCTTTCAGTAACCTTCATTATGATAATTTGAGTACTACTAGGAGAAGGCAATGGCACCCCACTCCAGTACTCTTGCCTGGAAAATCCCATGGATGGAGGAGCCTGTAGGCTGCAGTCCATGGGACTGCTAAGAGTCGGACACGACTGAGCGACTTCACTTTCACTTTTCACTTTCATGAGCTGGAGAAGGAAATGGCAACCCACTCCAGTGTTCTTGCCTGGAGAATCCCAGGGATGGGGGAGCCTGGTGGGCTGCCGTCTATGGGGTCGTACAGAGTCGGACACGACTGAAGTGACTTAGCAGCAGCATGAAGAAAAAAGAAAGCAAAAACTGACCGCCAAAGCTTGTTCCAGTTAGAGTACGGCCCATTAATAGCTCCACTGCAGAAACATTCAGTCCATTGTCACCAACGTTTACTCCAATGATAGTGCACACTCCCCAGCCTACTGTTACACTGTCCAGGGCTGCTCTCTGGAACGTCAAAAAAAAAAAGTTTGGCTGAGCAGGTAGAAAAGTAGAACATGAACTGCAATGTGAGTGTTTTCAATGCTTCAGGGAAAATTTACACAATTCTGCATTATGACCTTATGGTCATAATATAGATTGAGACTTGAGTCACTTATGTTGTGTTTCAGATTGCACATCCAATAAAATTTTGAACATCATCAAAAAGGATATTTAAACGAAACAAAACATATTTTACTCTGTTTAATACCACAGTTATGCTGAACCTATAGTGTATTTCATTGTATGTCAAGAAAAATACACACACATGAAGTTAAGGAACGATCTATAGATGATATTGTAAACTCGAATCAACAAGTTTTTGACCATCTACAATGGAATATGCAAAGATATTTGCAATTCCAGAGGCTTAGGATCCAAATTAAGTCATGAAGAGAGAGTGAATAAGTAAATATGAGGCATATACTGTGAACTTAATAGATCTCAATGTAGAGATAAATGAAAAGAAATGCTATTTAAAACAGAAGACAAAACAGTTAAACAGAAATGACAGTGGCTGCTGCTCATTAAACATTTCATCTACTTCCCTATAGTTTTTAGCTCTCCTGCAGTTACATAGAGTCACGTGACTAGTTCTGGGCTACAGGCCAGAGTGATGTGTGCCATTTCCTGGCCAAAGTGGAAAAGCCAGTGGGCAACCTGCCAGGTATCCCTTCTGCTCTAACAACCAAGAGAAACTTGTGTTGAGATTGTAAAGCCATAAATTAGAACTTCCTTCATTGCTAAGTCACCACATGAAAAACAGGGGCCCAGAGGATTTGCACTGATCTTTGCATAAGAGAAGAAAAAATATCGTTATCTTAACCCACTGCAGGTTTGAAGTTAATATGAAATGCCAAGATTGAAAACATAAATAAGTTTAAGAAAAATATAAACTTGTGGATGGCCATTCCACATAGAAGCCGTGTGGTATAGTTGAACATCTGAAACTCTTTTGAGACTAATGTTATATAAGAAAAGTATAATTTACCCCATATCCTTTGCCATGTATGCTCAGTCACTTCAGTCATGTCCAACTCTCTGCGACCCCATGGACCATGGCCCACCAAGGCTCCTCTGTCCGTGGGATTCTCTAGACAAGAATACTGGAGTGGGTTGCCATTTCCTTCAGTGATAAAGTATGAAGTGAGTGAAGTGAAGTTGCTCAGTTGTGTCAGACTCTTTGTGACATGGACTATAGCCTACCAGGCTCCTCCGTCCGTGGGGTTTTCCAGGTAAGAGTATTGGAGTGGGTTGCCATTTTCTTCTCCTTTGCCATAGTACGTGGTCAACTTGATTCTCACTTGTTGAGGTGACTTTACAAAAGTTCCAATAGAAATACTGTTTTTCATCACTGATCACTATATGAAAGAAGCATTCTGAAGTACAATATATTCTCTCCCTCTTCTCTTGCTGTCTCTGTCTGTCTTACTAGGGATGGAAAATGACTTAGAACTTTTAGAATGTGTTTTGAAATCTTTATTTGAATCTGTGTTTATTTATAGTTTTGAAAATTTCTAACATTTCTAAATAGCAACTCTTTTACTTTCTACACTTCTTGTATGGCAGAAGCATTTTTGTTTAATGAATGTTATACAGAAGGACCCACAGAGAGAGGAAAACAACACTGGCATTGATTGTTACCTTAAGGGAGCTACTTAGATTATTCCCATTTTGGGTTTGGCAGTGCCATGTGGCTTAGGGATCTTAGTTTGCTGGCCAGGGATTGAACCTGTGCCCTCTGCAGTGAAAGCGTGGAGTCTTAACCACTGGACCACCAAAGAACCCTCCTCTTTATTTTTAAATTTAATGTCTTTCCTATTGCCCTTTTCTACATTTCTGAGCTTTTCTCCAAGCAGGGAATTGACCTCCATAAATATGACTTAGTTAAATAGGTATTATACGCAAATACATGGTTTTATTTAGTAGCTTCTGATAACTTTTGATGATAATTATTTTTAATTCTCAAAATCTTATAAAACTTTCCATTATCGTAAATTTCTAATTGTTTTGTTGGGTTTCTTAGGCTGCTTTAGAGCATTAGAAGTCATCAGAATCAAGTTCATACCCATTACTGGAATCTCTTCCACAACCTAGAAATTTAGCTTTCCTTTCCCTTGGTGTTAGGTTAGGCAGTTCATTTTTTGTGGTTAAATAAACCCATCTTTTTTTATTTGGATTCTCTAGTGTGATTCTGTTCCATAATTTAAAATGCATTTCTTGGTATAATAAATAAGATAATATTGGAACCTGAAAGATTTAGATCAGTGGTTCTCAGCTTGAGAAACTTGTAACAAATATTAGTACCTGGGTCCCCAGTGCATGAGAATATCCTAGGTATGGGTCTATTCATTGACATTGAAAAACAACTCCCCATATACTTCTAAAGTATAGCCAGTTTTGAGAATCTCTGTACTGGAAAAATAAGGTTAAATGGGTGAATTTCAGTGTTTGTGAAGCATGTGAGCTGTGGGAAGTGGAGGAATGGATGTGGCACATTGCAGTCCTCAGGCTTCAAGGACAATTATAAAAGTAGGGCCTGAAGCGTTGGATGCGGAGGAGCAGTGCAGGACAAGGAACCCTCCCTGCATGAATTTCAGTAATAGCTAGCATTTATTGAGTCCTTCCCAGGTGGTGCAGTGGTAAAGAATCCATCTGCCAATGCAGAGGACACGGGTCGGGAAGATCTCCTAGAAGAGGAGATGGCAACCCACTCCAGTGTCCTTGCCTAGGAAATCCCGTGGACAGAGGAGCCTGGTGGGCTACAGTCTGTGGGGTCACAAAGAGTCAGACAGAACTGAGCAACGAGCACATGCACGCATACGCTTATTACCGGCCAGATCCTCTCTTAAGCATGCTATTTGCAGTGAAACCATTCTGAGAGGAAAGGCCCAGGAAGGGCAGCCTATTGCTCTCAGCAGCTCTTCCCAGTTTCCATTCTCTCATGGGGAAGACATGTCAGGTGAGAACTGAGGAGAGGAATCATCAAAGCCTGCTCCTGGGAGACTGAAGTACAGAACTGCATTCTTTACAGCCTCCCAGTGCCCAGTAGTGTCTGCCTCTTTGCGACCCCTGGTATTCAGATGGTAAAGAATCCGCCTGCTGTGTGGAGACCCAGGTTTCATCCCTGGGTCGGGAAGATCCCCTGGAGAAGGAAATGGGAACCCACTCCAGTATTCTTGCCTGGGAAATCCCATGGACAGAGGCAGCTGGTGGCCTACAGTCCATGGGGTCACAAAGAGTCGGACACGACTGAGTGACTAACACACACACACTTTGCGACCCTGTTGACTCTGGCCCACCAGGCGCCTCTGTCCATGGGATTTCCCAGGCAAGGATACTGGAGTGGGTTGCCATTTCCTTCTCCAGGGATTAAACCCTCATCTCTTGTGTCTCCTGAATTGGTAGGTGGGTTCTTTACCACTAGTGCCACATGAAAATCCTCTCTGTAGAGGAGAGTTTTAGGAGCCAGGCTGAGTGAAGGTGTAAATAAAAAGGAATAGTGTCATAACTATTAATACTTCACAGTTCTCACTAATGGAATAAGACTCCATAGGCAGAAAATTTAGTTGATGATTTCTCTAGTCATCTTGTTAAAAAAACAAAACAAAACTCTTCCTAATGGTGTCTTTGAGCAACTATGCATCAGGCGAGTATCTGCGGAAGACTAAGGCTACACACTCTGGAGGCTAACTAATCCCTTCGTTGGCTGGTGGCGCTTTATCCCATCTTTTGGAGCAGAACAGACAGGACTAGAGGTGTGCATCTGCAATCATGCTCAGGACCCTGCACTTAGAAGGGCCCTCCTTTCCTGTCCTGAGAGGAGAAGAAATCTGAATGAATCAAAATTGTAGTGTTTAGGAAAAATGGATTTAGATTTAATTTTGCAGCTTGTTGATTTTTTAATTGAAAATTTAACACATAATTTGGACCTAATTCAGCAGCCCATTTATTTAGATCTGATGGACAGAACTGGCTTGTTTGCAGGTTGCTAACCTCTCCTGGCTGTACTTTAGTGTGAGAGTGGATACCTTTGGCTGTTAGGAGGGACACCAGTCACCCTCTCTATTCCCTCTTCTAGGACTGCCTTTTCTTTTTCCCTCACTTCTCATAGGCACAATTCTTTTATAAAGTTTTAATTTCTAAGTTTTCTGTTAATGTTTTTTGCTGAATTTCATGTGAAAGAATAAGAAAATGTTAATAACACATTAATATTAAGTAGTAATTAGCAATATAACAAATAAAAATTAATTATGTAACATATAATGGCATCTAATATATTAATAAGTATTGCTTATATAAACTTAACTTATATATACATAAATATTAATATTAGATATAAACATATTAAGATATTTTCAATGTTAATTATGTCAGTAAGCAATGTTTATTATATCCTATTATAAGAAATACATACCATGATTTTAGCTCCTCCTACACACTCAAAGGCAAAATCCACACCTCCATTGGTCATTTCAACGATGACCTCTTGAATGGGTTTGTCTAGGTCTTTAGGATTGAGGCAGTCAGTGGCTCCAAGGGCTTTGGCCTTTGTAAACTTCTCACTATTGATGTCAATAACTATGATTCGGGAAGCTCCTGATGCTTTACAACCCATTACAGTAGAGAGACCGACACCTCCTAGGCCAAAGATGGCACAGGTAGAACCAGGTGTGACCTGCAGGCAAGAACATTATAAATTAACTTTTCAAGCAGCTGGTCCCATTTTTTGAAAAAGGGACAGAGTGAAGTGGGGACAGGAACAGATATATAAAAGCCTGTCTGTTGTAAAACTAAATGATATAGCTAAATGGGGGAAATTTGCCAATGTGAAAATGTACGAATCACTGGCTAAATTTAAAGAAACATTTGAAGGCTATTAGAATTAGAATTACCAGCTCATATTTCTACAAACCCAAGTAAAAATCGTTCTCTTGTCTTCCTTTTCCCTTTAGTGTTACGAGAACAAAAACTAAAGCCCACACATTTAAAAGGGCTTATTGGTTTCTTTTTTTTTTATGTTTTATTATTTTTTTTCCATTTATTTTTATTACTTGGAGGCTAATTACTTTACAATATTGTAGTGGTTTTTGTCATATATTGACATGAATTAGCCATGGATTTACATGTATTCCCCATCCCGGTCCCCCCTCCCACCTCCCTCTCCACCCGATCCCTCTGGGTCTTCCCAGTGCACCAGGCCCGAGCACTTGTCTCATGCATCCAACCTGGGCTGGTGATCTGTTTCACCCTAGATATACATGTTTCAATGCTGTTCTCTCGAAACATCCCACCCTCGCCTTCTCCCACAGAGTCCAAAAGTCTGTTTTGTACATCTGTGTCTCTTTTTCTGTTTTGCATATAGGGTTATCATTACCATATTTCTAAATTCCATATATATGCGTTAGTATACTGTATTGGTCTTTATCTTTCTGGCTTACTTCGCTCTGTATAATGGGCTCCAGTTTCATCCATCTCATTAGAACTGATTCAAATGAATTCTTTTTAATGGCTGAGTAATATTCCATGGTGTATATGTACCATAGCTTCCTTATCCATTCATCTGCTGATGGACATCTAGGTTGCTTCCATGTCCTGGCTATTATAAACAGTGCTGCGATGAACATTGGGGTGCACGTGTCTCTTTCAGATCTGGTTTCCTCGGTGTGTATGCCCAGAAGTGGGATTGCTGGGTCATATGGCAATTCTATTTCCAATTTTTTAAGGAATCTCCACAATGTTCCCCATAGTGGCTGTACTAGTTTGCATTCCCACCAACAGTGTAAGAGGGTTCCCTTTTCTCCACACCCTCTCCAGCATTTATTGCTTGTTGACTTTTGGATAGCAGCCATCCTGACTGGTGTGTAATGGTACCTCATTGTGGTTTTGATTTGCATTTCTCTGATAATGAGTGATGTTGAGCATCTTTTCATATGTTTGTTAGCCATCTGTATGTCTTCTTTGGAGAAATATCTGTTTAGTTCTTTGGCCCATTTTTTGATTGGATCATTTATTTTTCTGGATTGAGCTGCAGGAGTTGCTTGTATATTTTTGAGATTAATCCTTTGTCTGTTGCTTCATTTGCTATTATTTTCTCCCAATCTGAGGGCTGTCTTTTCACCTTGCTTATAGTTTCCTTTGTTGTGCAAAAGCTTTTAAGTTTCATTAGGTCCCATTTGTTTATTTTTGCTTTTCTTTCCATTACTCTAGGAGGTGGGTCATAGAAGATCCTGCTGTGATTTATGTCGGAGAGTGTTTGCCTTTGTTCTCCTCTAGGAGTTTTATAGTTTCTGGCTTACATTTAGATCTTTAATCCACTTTGAGTTTATTTTTGTGCAAGGTGAAAAGACAGCCCTCAGATTGAGAGAAAATAATAGCAAATGAAGCAACAGACACACAGATGGAGAAATATACAATATTCATGGATTGGAAGTGACTTTAGACTATACTACAAAGCCACAGTCATCAAGACAGTATGCTACTGGCACAAAGACAGAAATATAGATCAATGGAACAGAATAGAAATAAATAGAGATAAATAGAGATAAATCCACGAACCTATGGACACCTTATCTTCGACAAAGGAGGCAAGAATATACACTGGAAAAAGACAACCTCTTTAAGAAGTGGTGCTGGGAAAACTGGTCAACCACTTGTAAAAGAATGAAACTAGAACACTTTCTAACACCATGCACAAAAATAAACTCAAAATGGATTAAAGATCTAAATGTAAGACCAGAGACTATAAAACTCCTAGAGGAGAACTTAGGAAAACACTCTCCGACATAAATCACAGCAGGATCCTCTATGACCCACCTCCCAGAATATTGGAAATAAAAGCAAAAATAAACAAATGGTTTCTTTTTAAAATAGATCTTCCTGGTGGCTCAGATGGTAAAGCGTCTACCTACAATGAACCCAGGGAGACCTGGGTTCAATCCCTGGGTCAGGAAGAACTCCTGGAGAAGGAAATGGCAACCCACTCCAGTATTCTTGCCTGGAAAATCCCATGGATAGAGGAGCCTGGAAGGCTACAGCCCATGGGGTTGCAAAGAGTTGGATTCAACTGAGCAACTTCACTTTAAATAGATCACAAGCCCCAGTGATTGCAGCACTATTTACATATGGATATATGTATGACTGAATCATTTCACTGAAATTAACACAACATTGTAAATCAACTATATTCTGGTAATTTGCAAATGTTAAAAAAAAGTGCTGCTTCTAAAAAAAAAAAAAACACTGGTAATTTGCAAATGTTAAAAAAAAGTGCTGCTTCTAAAAAAAAAAACAAAAAAAAACTATATTCCATTATAAAATAAAAATTTAAATTTAAATAAGATATAGATCAAAAAAAGGTCACAAGTAATTTGACATCTGTATTTCTAATAGGTCTTTTTTGGTTTTTTGGTATTAATGTTGTGATTGGTTTTGAATGACCAATAATATGTCTCTAAATGTGAATTAACTTGATCATCCCAAATCATCACTTCATTCAAATGGAACAAAGAAGGTATGTCTTTGCATGGCATTGAAGGATTTTTATTATCTTGGTCGGATACCTTTCTACTTCTTCACCATAATAATTGCAATACTACAGCTACAGCCAAACGTTGCAGTTTTCTTTCCCCAGGTCTTAGTTCATGCTGTTCCCTCAGCTTGATATGCTTTTCACCTTATTTCCTTTAATTAAAATATAACCTGTATGTCTAGGCCTAACTTGAATCACACTCTACCCTTGAAATGTTTCTTGATTCTACAATTAGAAATTATTACCCACCTTTTTGCTTTTTCTATATCATATAATTTAAAATTAGTTTTGAATGATTTTGTGTGTGTGCATGTGGACTAAAATCTTTGAGGGCATATAATCTTTCATATTGCTATCAAGGAGTCTTCTGTATGTTTTAGCTTTAGTGAATGTTTGTTACATTAAATGCAACAGAAACATAATATGTGAGATGACAAGGAAAGCTGCTGTAGCTGGAATATGTTATTTTGTACAGTGGTATAGTGGGAAAAATACCATACAGAGATATGTTCAATTAATATTTTCCAGTGGTGATAAGAAACTGTTAGAATTAAAAGCATAAATCCAAGAAAAAGAGAAAATGTGTCCAGGAAAAGTCCTTGATATATTCGAATTTGAAAACAAAACCATTAAGGAAAGAGAGACCATTTCACTTTAGTTTATGTGTCATACTCGGCATGCATACACTGGCTTTTGCCACTCAGGGAAAAAGAATATATATATTTTTCAAATATTCAGAATACTGTTCTGTATATACTATGTAATCTTTACTGTGATACTGTGGCATGAGTTTAGTATATTTCCAAATATATTTCTCCAGAGACTGTTATAAAGCTCGCCAGTAAGTCTAATTGGAAGTAGACATGCATTTTTCTCACTGAAGCAGTGTTGTACACAGTTGTGCATAGCTCACAACAGTGTATAAGCTGAATACACTGTACCAATTGTGTTATAAAACTGGACACCTGTGGGTAAAGCTGTCTTTAATTGCAGTTCAGGGTGGGGGGGTCATTATAAAGTATTGTTTGTTTTTTTGTTTGTGTTAGTTGCTTAGTCATGTCCGACTCTATGCAACCCCATCGACTGTAGCCCACCAGGCTTCTCTATCCATGGGATTCTCCAGGCAAGAATACTGGAGTGCATTGCCATGCCTTCCTCCCAGGGATCTTCCCGACCCAGGGGTTGAAGCCCAGTCTCCTGCATTGCAGGTGGACTCTTTACCATCTGAACCACAAGGGAAGGTTATAAGGTATAACCCCATTTAAAAATAGAGCTTTAAATAGTGTATGATTATCTATATACAGACAACATTCTTAGGACATTTTTGTGCTTTCAAAGATCTCTATGAAATATAATTAATTTGTCAATAAAGGATACAAACAGATTAAAAAGAACAAGGAGTTCTGGTGATGGTGGGGGAATGGGGAATGGTCCTTAATAATTAATCAGAGTAATTGCATCATTTTTCTTCTCAGAGGTAAATTAAAAATTATTAAATCTCTTACCTTTTGTCTAGATTACTGACAATTCACTTCTTTTTACTTGTTCCTATCAAATTTGTTTCTCTTTCTTGAGTATCTCATGAAGTGGATTAGCTGTTCTTCAACAGCAGGGAGAAGAGATTCTGGGAATTTAGGTAAGCTTTGACTAGATGAAAGTGAAAGAGGAGAGTGAAAAAGTTGGCTTAAAGCTCAACATTCAGAAAACTAAGATCATGGCATCCGGTCCCACCACTTCATGGCAACTAGATGGGGGAACAGTGGAAACAGTGGCTGAATTTATTTTTCTGGGCTCCAAAATCACAGCAGATGGTGATTGCAGCCATGAAATTAAAAGACACTTACTCCTTAGAAGGAAAGCTATGACCAACCTAGACAGCATATTAAAAAGCAGAGACATTACTTTGTCAATAAAGGTCCATCTAGTCAAGGCTATGGTTTTTCCAGTGGTCATGTATGGATGTGAGAGTTGGACTATAAAAGAAAGCTGAGTGCCAAAGAATTGATGCTTTTGAACTGTGGTGTTGGAGAAGACTCCTGAGAGTCCCTTGGACTGCAAGAAGATCCAACCAGTCCATCCAAAAGGAGATCAGTCCTGGGTGTTCATTGGAAGGACTGATGCTGAAGCTGAAACTCCAATACTTTGGCCACCTGATGTGAAGAGCTGGCTCATTTTAAAAGACCCTGATGCTGGGAAAGATTGAGGGCAGGAGGAGAAGGGGATGACAGAGGATGTGATGGTTGGATGGCATCACCGACTCAATGCCCATGGGTTTGGGTGGACTCTGGGAGTTGGTGATGGACAGGGAGACCTGGCGTGCTGTGGTTCATGGGGTCACAAAGAGTCGTACATGACTGAGCAACTGAACTGAACTGAACTGACTAGATTTAAAAGAAAATTATTGCTGAATCTCAAGTGTTAATATCCCTGAAGAAAGGCTACAGTGGTATAAGGTGATAGTCAACTTGGAGTCCAGAAAAGGGCAGGGTGAAAAGGTAGCTGTGGTGGTGGTGATTGTAGCAAAGAGCTGTAATTCTTTCCTGTGTCTCCAGTGTTATCTAGAGGAAAATATGCCTTGACTGCTAAGGTCACATCAGCTCTTAACTCCACCCAACTAACAATACCCTTCCTGTAGGAGCCTTCAGATTATAGTTTGACTTCCCATATAGTCTTAAATTTTTGCTAATGAATAAATGAATGAATGAATTTTTGGAAGGAGATAATATACTGAGAGCCAAGAGTAGCATCCCTATCTGCTTGACTGATATAATTCTCAACAAAAAGTCATATCTTTTTATTTTGGCTACTAGATCAGCCTTTTATTTTGGTTAGGCTGACTTCATTTTCTTGACACTGAACAACTCTATGTAATCTTATAAAAAACAATAGTTGGATTGCAAAGCTGAGGACCAAGCCTCACCAAGATGTTTTAGGGGTTACATATGAACCTGGCTTTATTTGTTCACTTGCTGAAAACTTTCCAAGCTCATACTATATGCCAGACACAAGGCTCGGCTCCAGAGCCATCACAATGAACAAGAGAGAATTCTTGTCCTTATGGAGCAAATCATCTAATAGGAAGGAGTAATAAGTGGGATATTTCTCCATAGTGTGATAAGAAGGAAGAAAGGGTTAAACACAGATACTTTAGGGGAAACTGTGAGGGATGCCCAGTGCATGCCTGGGAAGATGGAGTAGGTTTCCAACAGGAAGTGACAAATAAATGGAAGTGGGGGAGCTTTCCAGGCAGTGTTGGTGGGAGCCAGGTGTGAAAAGTCTAGAGGCCACATTTAGAACCCAGAGACTGGGGGTCAGGCCCAGGGGAACAGTGAGCCATGAAAGGTAATAGAAAGAATGACTAGCATATTGAAGGAAAAGGGGAATAATTAAAGGGGAATGAAATCTCCAGATTTTGTTTAGGAAGATCACTCTGGTTGCATTTTGTAGTTTAGAGTTAAGGGATAAAGACTGATGTCAAGGAGGTTCAAATAAGGTCACCAGTATTCTTGCCTGGGAAATCGCATGGACAGAGGAGCCTTGTGGGCTACAATCCATGGGGTTGCAAAGAGTTGGACCCAACTTAGCAACTGAACACACAAAATCCCACAGAAGTGGTAGAGTGGGGTTTGAACCTACATGTGCCTGACTCTGGCAGCTCTGTGCTTTCTCAGCCTCCCAAAGCTCATAATGAGGCCCTTGAAATAGGCAAAGAGTGAGCCTAGTGGACGGATGGAGAGAGGGTAACTAAGGACAGGAAGACAAGAAAGATGGATAGTGTGCTCAGATCTGCCTGTGGGGGTGCGTTTGGGGGTGAGAGGCTGGGTTCACTGATCCGGGGTACTGCATGGGGACAGGGAGGGCGCCCAGCTTCTCAGGTGGCACCAGAGGGAGGAGGAATTGGGAGTGGATGGAAGGGGAGCCTTTGCTTGCAGGCAGGCAGTACAAATTTTAAAAAAAGGAAAGAAAGGAGGTTGTTTGAAGCATCCAAGTGATAGTGACATCTCTCTAGTCTGTCAGTTGAAGAGCTTTGTAAAAGCTTCTAAATTCTAACATGGAATTTCAGGGACACATCTTGCCACCATCAGGGCTGCCATCTGAGACTCTCCCTTGACGACACAAAGGGGCAAAGTGAGACGTAGAGATGAATTACTACATTTGAGAGAGAGGAATCTTCCGCTTCAGGGAGAAACTAGGTGGCTATATGGGTTAGTTTCTGTTGTCTCTTGACCGGGTCTGCTGTCTCAACAGGACAAGGGACGTATTTAGGGGACATGTTTAAGCAGACTGTACTTAAATCAGGGACAGTCAATAATCTAACATACTAGTAAAGGGAAGAAAATGAGCATGAACTGGGTGCCAACTATATGCTAGCCTCTGGGCCAGATGTCTTACATACGTAATATGATTTAATTATCCCCACAACTATTTGTAGTAGATATTACAGTAGAGAGAGAGGAGTGGAGAGGTTAAATATCTTGCCTAGAATCACAAAGGTAATAAATGACAGAGCCAATTTTTGAAGATAAATCTGGCTGGTTTATCATGCTGCCTCCCAGTAACATCTATCTTACACAGCCTGGTGACTAACCATTTTACCTTGGCATTGTTGATGACAGCTCCATAGCCAGTTGAAAATGCACATCCAAGCAGACAAACTCTCTCTAAATTGGCATCGTCATCTAGTTTGGCAAGGTTGACATCTGAGACCACAGTGTATTGACTGAAGGTACTGGTCCCCATGAAATGGTAAATTGGTTTTCCTTTGCAGGTAAACCTACTAGTTCCATCTTCCATTAATTTTTGATCACCCATAGGATTTTTAAAATGCCTAGGGAAAAAAAGATACAAAAAAGGGAAAGTTGATGGACAACTGATTACTTTTCTGAAAAAAAGGTACCTACCTGCTCCCTGACACAAGCACCTACCCTCCCCACTTTGGACTTATTTTCGAATAAATCTCAGACATCACTGTTTCATCTGTAAATATTTCAGTATATGTCTCTAAAAGATTCTTTTAATTCTACAGATTTCATTTGGTTGGTATGTCTCTTATGTCTCTTGATTTATAGGTTCTCACCCTACCCCTTGTTTGTTCCCCTACAGTTTTTTTGTTGAATAAATAGTTATTTGTCCTACAGAATTTTCTTCACTCTAGATTTTTCTGATTATGTTCCTGTAATCTGGTTTAACATATTTCTCCATCACTGTATTTCCCCTAAACTAGTACTTTTGATCTAAATGCTTGATCTGATTCAAATTTTATGTTTTTGTAGGACTGTTGCTAAAATAGTGTTGTGTATTTTCACTTGGAGGCATGTAATAGCTTATCTCTTTGTGATGCTGGAAAGAACTGATGGTCATTGTCAAAATCTGTTATTTCATTAGAGGTTTGCAAAAGGGTCTCTTCATTTTTTGAATATCTGCAACAACCCTGTGAAGTAGGTTTTATTATTGTCTCCTTTTTATAGATGAGTAAATTGAGGCACAATATTGGCAGAAGAGCCTGGAGGGCTATGGTCCATTGAGTCGCAAAGAGTCCAACACAGCAGTAGTGACTGAGCATGCATGCATGCATAGATATGAGTAGTAAAATTTTAGCTTCTGAAATAACTAGTTTCAATTAGCATTAAAGATAAATATATAATTTCTATAGTCTAAGTACAAAATAAGGCAATTAAGATTTTTGACTCCAGACCCAGACTGCCTAGGTTCAAAATCTAGCTCCAATCTGTGTGGCCTTGGAATAAGTTACTGTGATGCATTGCATTTCTCTCTCATCCTCTGTAGAAGTGAGAGGGTAACAGGCAGGTAAGGAACTAAAAAATCAATCTGGGATGCCATCAGGTCTACCCCTGGTGCATCTACACCCCGCCTCTGTGGTAGAACCGGGAGGGACGATTATGGTGCCTGTGTCAGTAAGGGACAGACTAAGTCGAACCAGGGAAGGAAAGCTTTGGTGGAAAGTCTGTCTACACCCCCATCTAGAGCAGGGAAGGATGCCTCCAGTAGAAAGATAGCGCTGGTCACTTTTTTCTCTTACAGATGGGAGCTAACAATTCCAGCCTCACTCCTTTGAACTGTATCCTGAAAAACTGGGATAGATTTGATCCTTAGAGCTTAAAGATGATATGCCTGATCTTCCTCTGGCCATGGTATCCATTGGGGGAAGGTGAACCGTGGCTGGCTGGAGGGTCTCTTAATTATAATACTGTTTTACAACTAGACCGGTTCTGTAGAAAACAAGGGAAATGGGTAGAAGTAGCATACCAACAGACTGGTTCCAAATAAGAAAAGGAGTACGTCAAGGCTGTATATTGTCACCCTGCTTATTTAACTTATATGCAGAGTACATCATGAGAAACACTGGGCTGGAAGAAGCACAAGCTGGAATCAAGTTTGCCGAGAGAAATATCAATAACATCAGATATGCAGATGACACCACCCTTATGGCAGAAAGTGAAGAGGAACTAAAAAGCCTCTTGATGAAAGTGAAAGAGGAGAGTGAAAAAGTTGGCTTAAAGCTCAACATTCAGAAAACTAAGATCATGGCATCTGGTCTTGTCACTTCATGGGAAATAGATGGGGGAACAGTGGAAGCAGTGCCAGACTTTATTTTTTTGGGCTCCAAAATCACTGCAGATGGTGACTGCAGCCATGAAATTAAAAGACACTTACTCCTTGGAAGGAAAGTTATGACCAACCTAGACAGCATATTAAAAAGCAGAGACATTACTTTGCCAACAAAGGTCCATCTAGTCAAGGCTATGGTTTTTCCAGTGGTCATGTATGGATGTGAGAGTTGTACTGTGAAGAAAGCTGAGTGCCAAAAAATTGGTACTTTTGAACTGTGGTGTTGGAGAAGACTCTTGAGAGTCCCTTGGACTGCAAGGAGATCCAACCAGTCCATCCTAAAGCAGATCAGTCCTGGGTGTTCATTGGAAGGACTGATGCTGAAGCTGAAACTCCAATACTTTGGCCACCTCATGTGAAGAGTTGACTCATTGGAAAAACCCTGATGCTGGGAGGGATTGGAGGCAGGAGGAGAAGGGGATGACAGAGGATGAGATGGCTGGATGACATCACCGACTCGATGGACATGAGTTTGAGTAAACTCCGGGAGTTGGTGATGGACAGGGAGGCCTGGCGTGCTGCGATTCATGGGTTCGCAGAGAGTCAGACACGACTCTGAGCGACTCAACTGAACTGAACTGAACTGAGCATGTGTGTTGACCTTTCTCTCTCTGCAAGATATGCCAGACTTATGTCCTAAGGGTATAGATTGGGATATGAAACCTTCAGCTCCCTCCTGTCCTCCTACTTTGCCCCGTACCCGGGGCTCCAAACTGAAAGTCAGGGACACACCCCCACCCCTGCCCCACCCCAGAAGGGTTGCCTCAGTCTCTGTAAAAACCCAAACTGAGATTCAAACTGCCTAAGTAGAGGTCCAAACAACCCCTGTCTCATTATGACCTCAGACTACACTGGTTTCAAAGAAACTCCGACAGTTGAAGTAAGAGAAGCTCAGACAGCTGTAAGGCGAGTGCAGAGAAAAAGAGAGAGAGCCAGGCAGTCAGGAAAGAAAAAGGAAATTTATTAGAGGGAAAAGAGAGGGTGACTGGCTCTTAAGGAGAACCTGTGTTCTCCCTTTCTGACGGAGTCCTTCTTATACCCCACCAGTGAAAAATTCTCTGAGGAGATGGTCACATAGCCAGAGACCTGGAATCTGGTGGTCTTGCAGCTTTGAGAAGATAAGTGCCAATGAGATAACAGGATGCCATTTGCGCAGTTTGGTCACTCTCACAGATTACTGTGATTTTATTCTTCCTTTGCAAGGTCAACATAATGAGCCATCTTATCAATTAGACCCCATGTGGGCCCTATCATTCCAGCCTTTTTGATTTAGGATAAGGGCTGAAGGTCAGTCTTCTGTAACCGCTTCCTGAAGGACAGGGGTGTCCTGGGCGTAAGATAAGACATCGTGGGGGTAAGATAAGAAAAGGCTGGAATGCGGGTCAAGGGGATTTGTGTGGGGTCGAAGTTTTTGATAATCTGAGTGAGTTAGAAGCAGCTCGTGGATAGTTCAGTTGGTGAAGGCTTGTAACTGGTCCTGCCGCTCTAAGAGTTACCCTGGGCTCCGTAGAGGTGACGAGAGTCAGGGCCTGGGGCCCTGGGCACCTTCAGTCTAAGGTGGCAAGTCTGAGGAGACTGGGCAGAGCTGGGTCGGAGGACTCCTGCTCGGAACCAGGAGGGGAATGTCCGGATCCCTGGAGGGGGATTTGGGCAGTCTACCTTCCAATGTCCCGTTATGCCACAGCTGGGACGTGGACCTGGAGGGGGTCTTGGCTTTAGGCATGAGGGGGCCCAGCGACCTTCTTTGCCGCATTTGAAGCAGGGCCCAGGTGGCTTCCTTTTTCTGTTGGTTGATGGAGGCTTGGCGCCATGTAGGGCATGGGCTCAAAGGTGGCATTTGGCCTGATCTCGTTGGGCCTTCTCTAGCTTTGCCTATTCTTCCCGGTTATTGAAAATCTTAAAGGCTAAATTTAAAAGGTCTCGTTGAGGGGTTTGAGGGCCTTCTGCCTTTTTTTGTTTCTTTCGGATATCTGGGGATGACTGGGCGATAAAATGGGTATTAAAGACAATGGTGCCCTCTGCTGAAGTGGGGTCTAATTTTGTATATTTTTGTAGCACTTCTATTAACCTGGCTAGAAATTGTGCTGGGTTTTCGTCTAGCCCTTGAGTTATTTCCTGGAGTTTATCAAGGTTGATGGCTTTATGCCCTGCCTTTTGAAGGCCCACAGTGAGGCAAGCAACCATGTGATTACGGGCTGCTCACCCACGTCTCCCTGCCTGATAATCCCAGTTGGGATCTTCTCAGGGGACAGCCGTGGCCCCTATGGGCTGAGTGTCGTCTGTTCTGTGTATCTCATCAGCATGCGCCTGAGAGGCTTGCCATATTCTTTCCTTCTCTTCTGGGAGAAGAGTGGAGGAAAGGATGATATAAATATCATGCCAGGTTAAGTCGTAAGACTGGATAAGATACTCGAATTCTTTTAGATAATTATCCGGGTATGAAGAGAAGGAGACAAGATGCTTTTCAATCTGAGACAAATTGGTGAGGGAGAATGGGACATGAACTCGAACAATGCCTTCTGCTCCAGCTACTTCCACTAAAGGGAGGCATGGGGCAGGGAAGGATCAGGGTCCTGCAGTGTTAAAGTTGCTCAGGACTGGCTATGGGGAGGGGATCTAGGGAGGTCTGGGTAAAGCTTTGGGACCCTCTGGATAGAGGGTGGGGCTGAGATCTCAGAGCTTATTTCAGGCACAGGCTGGGGATGGGGGTTGGGAGCTGCCTTGAGAAGGAGGGAGAGAGGAGAGGATGTAAGGTGGAGGCTGTGGAACTGGAGCTGGAGCGGCTGCAAGGGGACTGGGAGTGATAGAGGGTGGGCTGTGGTCGGATGGGTTGAAGGAAGAAGAAGAAAATTCTGAACAGGAATTGGGAGACATTGTATTAGGAGGATGTGGCCCAGAGTAGGCTAAGAGCATTTGAGAAGTAGAACAGGATTCACAGAGAGAGGGTCGAGAGTGGAGAGTGAAGAAAGCCTGAACATAACGGATTTCTAACCACTTGCCAATGTGGTGGCAGATGTTATCGAGGTCCCGTAGAGTATTATAATTGAGAGTTTTGTTTTCTGGCCATTGGGGCCTATTATCAAGTCTGTATTGTGCCAGCCAGTGTTAGAATAGTAAGTAAGCCTTTTTGGTCTTATCTCCCCTTGGAAGCCCAAGGCTTTTAGGTTTTGGAGAAGGCATTTTAGGGGAGTATATTTT